CCAAAAGTAACAAGTAAGGATAAAGCAGATTTTGAGAGAGCAATTGCAGAAGCAGAGTTGAAATTGAAAAACTCTAGGTTGAAGAAAGTCCCATTGCCTCCTCCTAGTTCAAGTGCATCATTAGGTTTATGTTTTAATGAACCAGAGGAGATATATGGATCAAAAAGGAAGAGGTCAACTGCTTTAGGGAGTGGAAGTAGTAGTAACCCTGTTATGAAAGCATTTAACATTGGGGCTCGAGAACGACTAAATAGTGAGATAGCTAGAATGTTTTATTCAGCAGGCTTGCCATTTCATTTGGCAAGAAATCCTTACTATGTTAGTGCATTTACTTTTGCTGCAAATAACAACATACAAGGATATGTACCACCTGGGTATAACATGTTGAGAACTACATTGCTTCAAAAAGAAAGGATAAACATTGATAGGTTGTTAGATCCTATTCGAGGCTCATGGAGAGAGAAGGGGGTGAGTATAGTCAGTGATGGATGGAGTGATTCCCAACGAAGGCCATTAATAAATTTTATGGCTGTTACCGGAGGTGGGCCTATGTTTCTTAAAGCGGTTGATTGTTCAGGGGAAACAAATGACAAGTATTTTATTTCCAACTTGATGAAGGAAGTAATCATGGAGGTTGGGGCTAAAAATGTGGTTCAAGTCATTACAGATAATGCCGCAAATTGCAAGGCAGCCGGGCACCTAATTGAAGCACAATTTCCTCACATCTTTTGGACTCCTTGTGTTGTGCACACCCTCAATCTTGCCTTGAAGAATATTTGTGCTGCCAAGAATGTGGAAAATAATTCAGTTGCATTTGAAGAGTGTAATTGGATTAGTGAGATTGTGGGTGATGTGATGATGATCAAGAATTTTATTTGTAATCATTCCATGAGGTTGGCAATGTACAATGAGTTTGTGAGTTTGAAACTTCTTTCAGTTGTCGAGACACGCTTTGCTTCTTCTATTGTCATGCTTAAGAGGGTCAAGTTGATAAAGCAAGGTCTCCAAACAATGGTAATCAGTGACAAATGGAGTTGTTATAGGGATGATGATATTGGTAAGGCCAAGTTTGTGAAGGATAAGTTATTGGATGATTTTTGGTGGGATCAAGTTGACTACATACTTTCCTTTACTGCTCCTATTTATGACATGATTAGAGTTTGTGACACCGATAGACCTTCTCTTCACTTAGTGTATGACATGTGGGATACAATGATAGAAAAAGTGAAGATGGTGATATATAAGCATGAAGGAAAGCGACAAGAAGAAAAGTCTACATTCTATAATGTAGTACATTAGATTCTTGTAGACCGGTGGAACAAGAACAACACACCACTTCATTGCTTGGCACACTCATTGAATCCAAGGTGATTACAACACAGTTTACTATTTTTATTGATTTAAGCTTAATATTATTCTTTCACATTTATAATGAGTAGTACTTTTTTTTCATTTTAGGTATTATAGTGATGTGTGGCTTCATGAGGATCCAAGCCGAGTTCCCCCACATAGGGATGAGGAGGTTTGTCTTGAGAGAAAAAAGTGCTTGAAAAGGTTCTTTGATGATCCAATGGAGCGCACTAAAGCAAATTTGGAGTATGCTAAGTTCTCAACAAAAGAGGGGCCATTTGTTGACATTGATTCCATTGGAGATAGATGTGATATGGATCCTCATAGTTGGTGGGGTGTTCATGGTGCATCTGCATCCACTCTTCAATCTTTGGCTTTAAGGCTACTTGTGCAACCTTCTTCTTCGTCATGTGCTAAGAGGAATTGGAGTATATACTCTTTTATCCATTGAATGAGAAGACACAATATGACACCCCAACGTGCAAGGGACTTGGTTCTTATTCATAGCAACCTCCGTCTTTAATCAAGGAGAACCCCACAATACCTTGAAGGAGAAACCAAGTTGTGGGATATTGCGGGCGACACGTTTGATTCATTTGATGATGTTAGGATGCTTGAGGTTGCCAATCTCTCACTTGATGAACCTGAGATGGAGGTTGTGTTGTTTACAGATGATGGGGGTGCAAACGAAGAAAAAGATGGTGATGCTAATGATGGTGAAGATGTGCAAGAAATTGGATCTACTTGAAGTTTTGAAAGGCCTACTTCTTTTCTTTTCTTTTCTTTTCTTTTTCCTTCTTCTTTGCCTCTTATTTAGTGCTTTTGTGAAGAATATTGATGGATGTTGGATGTTGGATGTTTTCCCCTTATATTTAGGGTTGGTTTGGGATGTCCTAAAAAAGTGCACTTTTTGACTTATTGGTGGGTTTAGGTTGGGTTTGATGTGATGTGTTAGAGAGGTGATGTGATTTAAATAAGATGATGTGACTTAAATAAGATAGTGACTTTTTGACTTTTTGGCTTATTTAGTACATGCCAAACTAGCCCTTAATTTGGGATTAAAAAGTTCGTTTGAGTTAGCTTTCTTAACTTTTAAAAGAGATAGAGTAAAATGATTATAATTTAAATGTGATATTTTATTATGTTAATTTTTAAATTTATTTTATTTTTTAATAACTAATTTAACCCCAAATCTCAGAGACAAAAAAAAAAAACCCTTAGTTACCAAACGAGGCGTTAAATTTGAACATCATAATGAATTATCCCAGACCAAAACCTTCCATTACCCTACTATCACTCACACACGTCTCACTTTCACATACAGTTCACTACTGTCCAAAAACCTTACAAAACCCTAGCCATGGCGGTGAACGGGACACCAGAGACCCTCCAAATCCACAGACTCCCACTCTCCAAATACATCGATGCCCTCCGCTGGCTTCCACCTCTCTCCGCCTTTGATCGCTTCGTCGTCCTCCCCGTATTCGACTCCGATCCCAACTCCTCCGCCATCGAAATCCACTCCCTAACTCGATCAAACCCCTCAAATCTAACTCTCCAATCCTCATGGTCCTCACCCTCAAGAATTTCCTCCCTCAAAGCCTCTCAAACCCTCCACAAACCCCTCATCGCCGCATCCACCTTCTCCGGCTCGCTCCACGTCCTGCTCGCTGACCCGGTCGATGCATTGATCGAATCGGAGGTTTCGGTGCCTGGGAAGACATTGCACGTTGGACCCATTTCGTGTATTGATGTGCAGGAAAATGGGTCTGAGTGTGTTAGTGTTGGGGAAGATAGGAGGGTGAATTTGGTGAGTGTTGGTAATTCGAATTTCAGTCACCGCCGGTTTTTTTATAGCAATGGGTTGGTGTCGTACACAGCGGCGAAGTGGGCGTCGCCGATGGAGTTTGCCACGGGTGGATTGGGGTTTAGTCTTCAGTGGTAGGATCAGAGAAAGCCTGGAGGACCAGCTTCTCAGTTCAAGGGTAATTGGTAAGCGAATACCAATTTTTTTTTTTTTTTCCATTTTGTACAATTATTGTATAGAAATTTCATTTTAAACATTGTAGTTTCTTCCAAAAATCTGGATAGAAGTAGTGGCAATTATGTCCGTGACTAACACTATGTTTGGAAACTTAAGAGAGAAAATAAAAGAAATGATTACTTAAGTAATAAGAGAAAAGAAAAGAAAAGAAATAATTGTGATTTCTCTCATTTTTGTTTACATAAGGAAGAAATAAAAGAAAAGAAATGATTATGATTTCTCTCATTCTTGTTTGGTTAGATTTCATTAAGAGAAAAGAAAAGAAATTATTTTATGTTTTATTACCAAAATAACCTTTTTATATTTTCAATCATTTTATTTTTTTTATTTTTATAGGGACAAAATTGGTATTATAAAAATAGTGGTTTCTTTTCTCTCTCAATCTCTCCACTTTTGGGAAGATTGAAAATGAGACTTATAAGAGAAATGAGTTTCCCTCTATTTTTCTCAATTTCTTTCCATTTCTCTCCACTTAGATTATCCAAACATGTAAGAGAAATGCATATCTCTCCATTTCTTTTCTTCTCCCTCCAAATCACTCAATCCAAACATAGCGTAACTCATTTTCAACCTGAGATGCAAATTTGCAAACTTTCTCTTCAAAATGATCTCATGGAACTTGTTGATCTCCCTATTTGAATAATAAGAAAATTCTATCTAAAATACGGATTCTAATTGGGTTCAGATGTGGCAAATGTTATTATACATGTCAATCATATGGGCAAGGTCTGCACTTGATCATGTTTATTTGCCGCCCATATTTGAGTTGAAACAAGGACTCATCCAATGTCGCAAGGGTACAATCTATCTGCAATAATACATGTACTTAATGTATGTGGGTATGTTTTGTGTACATGATGTACAGTGAATGCTTCAAAGTATGGAGTTGGGATTAGAAATATGCTTCAAAGTGTCCTTTCCCAATCGTCGCATTTTAAAAATTTTTAGCTTACCATGTCCCAAACAAATGAAGAAGAGAGACAAGATCCCTAATCCCCGTTCCCTTTTGTAGAGATTTAAAAAGAGACGGATGATTATTTATGTTGGTGGTCTTTTTTGCTTGTGATTCCCTGCAATTGCATGGTTCCCATTGATTGGTCTCGGTATTACTAGGCAGCTAGTTTTCAATTTTCCGTCCATTAAAATTTTTGTTTAAGGCCTACAATCCTTGTATGCATGGTTGGTTAAAATCGTGATCCGGATCGTAGGATGGTACGATCCTGCGATCCGGATCGCAGGATCATACGATCGGGATTGCAGGATCGTACGATCCTGCGATCCGGATCGATCCAGATCGTTGTAGGATCGATGTTATAATAGGATCGCAAGTAGGATCGTGTAGGATCGTATGGGATCGTATAGGATCGTAGGTAGGATCGCAAGTAGGATAGTAGATTTTATGATTTTTCACCTTATTTTTAATATGTATCATTTTAATTTTATTTTTTTATCTTTTTTTTTTAATAGAAAGTAGGATCTTACGATTCTCGATCCGATCTACCAGACCCTCTTACCGATCCTACTTAGGATCTCGATTTTAACAACCTTGCTTGTATGGAGCAATCTCCGTTGTGTTTTGTGTTCTTTTTCTCCTATTTATAAGTAAAACTAAATGGGTAAAAGATAGTATAAAATTAAGAATGTAGAGGAGTGAAAACATGAGATAGGGCTGGGGAATCTTCCCATTTTTTGAAAAGTAGAGATTTATTTATTATATGTCATAAAATTATAAAAAAAATTATTCAAAAATAATACAAAATAATACTATTAAAATTATAACAGAGGCATTTTTTTTTACTTATCACAAAAAAAAATTATAACAAAGGCACATAGAGAGAAGAAAATATAAAATGAAATTAGAAAAAAAAAATAGAAAAGAGAGAGAGACTCACTCACTGACCGTATAAAAGAAAAAGAAAACGGAAAAAAAAAAAGATTGAAGAAGATCAGAGGCAACGAGAGAGAGAGAGAGAGAGAGAGAGTGACTGCGAGAGAGAGAGAGACAGCATCGGAGAAGAAGAAGATCAAAGAAGAAGATTGAAGATCGAAGAACGAAGAAAAAGAAGAAGTGAATGTGTACCTTAGATAATAGCTGACAAGCGACGATGACAAACGATTAGGTTTGCTATCTCTTTCTCTTCTGTTCTTCTGTTCTCTTCTCTCTCTTTGTGCTCTATTCTACCTCCATTTAGGGCACATATTGTTTTGTTTTTATTTTTTTACAAATTGACCCACAGAAGTTCCATAAACTATGAAATTGACCCTGAACGTGTCCCTGAACGTGTCCAAACGTGTCCGGCGGCAAAAAAAAATAAAAAACAATTGGGACACTCTTAGTTGCGTGTCGGACACGTGTCCACCACATGTCCGACACGTGTCTGTGTCCGACATTGGTATGGAGCCCTTGGAGAGGTGTCCGTGCTTTATAGCCGAAAATGAACCTTTATTTTGGGTACATCTTGGGGGAACACCCTTTCCAGTTCCAACACTTACTTTATACGACCATCATTCAACACTTGATCCAAATACGACAATTCAATAGCTAGTCATTATCATTTGTGGTATTTGGATAAAGTGTCAGATGATGGTTGTATGAAGAAAGTGTTGGAGAGGATTCGGATCCCATCTTGACACACCTTAAAGGCGTGTAGTTACATACTTTTATCAATATGAGGTGGGTTTAAAGGTGTGTTCTAGATAATGGTTGGAAATGTTTGGAGCTTATGTTGTTGGCTTTAAAGGGCGATCACTTGAGCTTTAGGTTAGTTCAATCTGGCTGTAAGTGTAACTTGCTGGCAAGTAATATTTGAGAGTACAAAGAGTTCTGTGATTTATATACTTGGAGGTTTCAGCTAATTTAGTAGTTGTCACCTATTGATCACATTTTCATGTCTGGTAGAGTTTTGGAGGCTAGGACACAAGGTTAAAGCCTCTAATTAGAGCATTTTAGTGAGATTTTTGTTCATCCCCCTTTTTGAACACGGCTCGTTATGAGAATTATTTTGTTCTCCACTCAGGTTCTTTATTTGTTTATTTCTTTTTCATTTCAGACTTCTTTTTTTTTTGGGGGGGGGGGGGCTTTTTGTTGTAATAGGCAACACTTAGTTAAAATGGAACTAGTTTTGGAATTTGCATCCTAGGTCTAGGGCACTAGGTTGTGTTTTCTAGAATTTCATGATGATATATTTTGAAAATGGTTTCCTCACTTTCT